TCCCACCCTACCGTCGATGTCGCTCGACACCATGATTTCTCCCATCGACAGCCCCCCTCCTTCTCTCGCCTCCCGCTGCCCCATCCAACACCCTCCCTCCTCTCTATGTCGATGTCAACACCGAGCTCCCCCATCGAAGACCCATCACTTCTTCCTCTCTCACAACTGACGCCGATGCAGGTAATAACTCGAACCCTCCCTCGATCTCTCCCTCATTCCCTTTGATTGGATTGTGATGAAATTAGTTTAATGAGTAAACTTTTTTCTTTAATTGGTTGTGCTTAAATTAGTTGCTATGGAGATGGGGTTTTTTATTCTGGGTGTAGATCAATTATCGAGTTAAATTCATTATGCGTGGGCATGGAATCAATGCAAACTCAATTGTTATTTTACGGTATTTTTTATGGGATTATCACAAAGGAATTTTGGGATGTACAGAATTGCTGTGATAGAATTTAATTCAGTTTTTATGCTCACTGCAGAGCATATCAATCTCACGAATGTTTTTTTAATAAAGATAAAACCATGTTGAAACATATATATAATAATGATGCAACTATTCAATTTTCTATTGTTCTTTTGTCCATTTTGAAGCAAATTTTAGAGAGAACATTTGCTGTTTTAATAGCCAACAGCTTCCTTACTTGTTTGTTAGTGTGGTTTATTACGTGCAAATCCTGGAAACAATTTTGCTGCAGTGTGGTTATAGACTTGCATCATTAGGATATAATTTCTCGAAGTTTGTAACACATTGATAATTGTTTCAGGGCTACGAGATAACAGTGAATGTTGAAACAGATGACGTGCTACCCATTGGACTAAGTGAATATGACACCCATAATATTATGGATGTTGATGGTGAATTGCATACAACTCTTGTAGGCCCGAATGAGATGACTTTTATGGGAGAGTCGTCATACGAGGGAAAAGAATTTGCTACATTGGAGGAGGCATACAACTATTACAATTCTTATGCAAAAAAATGGGTTTTGGAATCCGTAAGGAAACTGTCGATAAGTCAAGAAAGTCAAGAGAAATTATTTCTCAAGTTTTTGTTTGCAACAAAGCAGGGAGAAAAATGTTATCAGATAAGAGAGAGTGTGGGAAACTTGTCAATCGCCGTCCAGATACTAGAGTGGATTGTCTCGCAAGAATGAAGATTAAGTTGACTTCCTCCAAGACATGGATTGTCACGAAGTTTGAGGCAGAGCACCCAACCCATCTATTATCGAGCCCTGATAAAGTGTCACGAAGTTTGAGGCAGAGCACCCAACCCATCTATTATCGAGCCCTGATAAAGTGTTTAATCATTATTCTCACAGGCAAAGCCATCGCTCGAAGACTTGCAAGAGAATTATTGAGAATTTGAGTGAAGAAGGAATGGTTCTTCTACTATTGCTCGAGTGTATAATGTTGTGTCTAAGAGTATTGATGAAGAATATATTACTGCACAACAATGTATTGATCACATCAGAACTATTAGGAAGAACAACATTGGCAATGAATGCATATCCATCATAAAGAATTTTCAAGATAGGAAGGAAATCGATCCAGAATTTTACTTTTCCATAGAGCTGGATCAGTCGGGGACTATGAGGAGCGTGTTTTGGGCTGATGGGAGATCAAGATCTTCTTACTTAAGTTTTGGAGATGTATTGGTGTTCGACGTCACATATAAAACCAATCATTTAAGCCTACCATTTGCTCCATTCACAGGTGTAAATCATCATCGGCAGTCCATTCTCTTTGGTTGTGCGTTACTTGCAGATGAGCAAGAGGATACCTTTATGTGGTTATTCACTCAATGGCTAAAATGCATGCATGGGGTTGCACCAAAAGCAATTATCACCGATCAAGATGCACAAATAGGAGGAGCTATCAAACAAGTTTTTCCTAATACCCGACACCATTTTTGTTCTTGGCATATTGGCAGACATATTGCTGAGCAACAACTTCCAATGAAAGCACAATATGGAGATGAGATTTCTACATATTTTGATAAGTGGTACCGAGCTAGCACTATTCACAATTGTGAGGAACGTTGGAAGATTATGAAGGAGAAATTTAATATAGATGAGAGTGTAGATAGTTGGCTGATGAGGATGTACAGATTGCGTGCACACTGGGTAGATGCATATTTGAAAGACATATTTTGGGCAGGAATGACAACTAGTCAGAGGAGTGAAAGTATCAATGTATTTTTTGATGGTTATGTAAATACAAAGACTAGGCTTGTGGACTTTGTATGCCAATATGACAAAGCCTTAGAAAATCGCCGTGCATCTGAATCTCGAGAAGACTTTATGACATTGAATATTGTGCCTGCAATGTGCCTTCGACATCCAATTGAAGTGCAAGTTAGCAAATTATATACTAGGGGGATCTTCAAAATATTCCAAGATGAGCTTACTAATGGTTTATCACTTTTTCATGAAGAAATGATAAAGGAAGAGCCAAAAACAATTTATCTAGTTGGTGATTTTTCTGAAGAAAAAGATAAATGGGAAGAAGTTACATATGATAAATCTAGCGGGTTTATGGTCAAATGCTCTTGTGCACTTTTTGAAACCAATGGGATCCTTTGTAGACATATATTGCATATAATATGGCTTCTTCAGTTGACAGCTATTCCTGATAATTATATATTGCAAAGGTGGAAAATTGATGCAAGGCACAAAAACATTAGATTTTTTAATGATATGGATGTAAGAAGCTATGAAGGTAGCGTGAAGCAGTGCGATATTATTAGATTGTGGGCAATTCGAGCCAGATTCAATGCTACCCTTGAGATGGCTTCATGTTCAGCAAATGTCATTTCTATGGTGGAGAGAATGCTACAAGATATCACTGTATCAGTTGAGAAGGAAGTAAAGCTTAATGAAATTCATATTGCAAACTCTCAAATTGGAAGCCAAATTAGTTCAAATGCAAATGTAGTATTGAGAGATGGTGAAGAAATTTTAATTCGTGATCCTAGTGGCCCAGTCAAAACAAAGGGTCGTCCAAGAGGTGCTAGCAGGTACAAGTCAGGAATTGAAGAGTCACAATCCAAAAAGGATATAAAACATCGAAAATGTGGGAATTGTCAACAATTGGGTCACTATAAGACTGGTTGCCCGATGTTGGTAAGTTACTTGAGAATTTATCTTGTAATATTTATTTGTCGTTCACATTTTCTTTACTAATATCTAATATTGTTTTTAAAAAACTCTGGTAGCTTTTCATTATATTATATGAATGTTCAGATATGAAGGACCAGCAGATTCTTGATCCATGCAGCTTTTGATACTGATATATCTTACTAATATGCTTCACATTAGTAAGATATGGATGTTCACATTATATTATATGCTTCACATTAGCAGATACTTGATCCATGCACATTTTCTTTACTAATATGCTTCACATTATATTATATGAATGTTCAGATATGCTTCACATTATATTATATGCTTCACATTAGTAAGATATGGATGTTCACATTATATTATATCACTGATCAATTGATTACGTGTTATTACTTTCTTTTTTGTGACACTGTTGTTGTTAAAGAAATTATTCATAGTTTCTTTGTTGTGCACAACTTATGAATGAATGTTTTCCATGTATAGAAAAAGTAATAGGCGGGCATTGTGAAGAAGGAGCACATCAAAATCCATGGTAGCTGAAAAGTCTCTGCTCGAAGGACTAATTAGTGCTTGAAGACTGTGTTTTATCTACTTAGCTTTTTATATAGTTGCTTTCCTATTTCATGCTTGAACTTGTACCTTGTTATCTCTTGCATTTGTGTTCGAAGGACTGATTATGTAGTGTTCGAAGGACTGATTATGTTTGTGAAATGATTGGATGATGTTTGGGGCCTGAGGAACAATTTCTGTGATGTAGTTTGTGATGTAGTTTGTGAAAGTATTGGTTTTTGATCCATATATATGTTAATCAGGCTGTGAGGGACAATTTATCTTGTAGTTTGTGATGTAGTTTGTGAAAGTATTGGTTTGTGATGTGGTTTTGTGAAAGTATTGGTTTTCTGTGATGTATTTTCTGTGATGTAGTATTCGTTTTTCTGTGATATGAATGAATGGTTTGGATTTGATTCATGTGATGACATTTGAGTTGGCAAAAAAAGTTGGTTCATTCTTGTGGATTAATCTGGCGAACAAAGTCACATGAAATATATTGAATCCGATCAGGTTGTCAGCAGACTTTGACGAATGTTAGTACACGGCTTCATTTGCTTTCAGATTCAATATATTGAACCCGATCAGGTTGTGCTTTCTTAAGGCTGGTTAAAAATGTCCATTTCAAATGAATAGATAAATCAATGTCACATGAAATCTGGAGACAATGTCAAATAGTCAAAGCACGCTGTTGTTGACTCTTATTTGCTGGTTGCTGCTGTTGTTACTGCAAATAAGTACTAATTTGCTCATTCAATTTCAAAACAATGAAGCTAACATTTGAGGACATACTGACTGAGCACAAACAAGCTCTTGTGCACATATGCATGGAAAGCTGGACAAGCTCTTGTGCACTTATGTACTAAACAGAGCACAAAATGACCACAAATAAGCTAACATTTTAGGACAAACTGACTGAGCACAAACAAGCTCATGATTGAGCACAAACAAGCTCATGATAGAGTACAAACTGAGCACAAAAATGACCACAAACTGACTTCAAACATTGTGAAAATTGAGTTCAAACTCAGTACAAAATGACCCAAGTTATACAAGCTTATCCTCACATAGAAGAATCATCCACAAATCACATCACATACTAGAAACACTAATATTGTAAACACTGAACCTAATACAAAAGCATAAATGGAGGAAATAGCAGTTTCCCCAAGTTTTGCCTTGTCCTCATCCAGATTATGTCCCAACGGAAGTATTTGTTGTTAAAATTGAACTGGTGTCAGGACATGCCTTGAGCTGGATGCTGAATCACGAGTGATGGTGTGTTTCTCCTATTCAAGCAAAGCTTCTTCGTACGTTTGAAACCCTTTGTAGGAGGCATTTGGGAATTTATCAACTTGAGATTTGCATTCCTCCCAATTATCGAAAATGCCACATCGTCGACCTCTCTTCACAATATAGAAACTCTTTCTTGCCATGGCTAACCTAAAAAATTGTGTTTTATAAAGTATATTCAAGTCTAAAGTATATTAAAAAATGGCACAGGATAGGATGTTCTACAATAAGTATATTCAAGTCTAATGTATATTGCACTTCACATCTAAATATGGTTTGCCACATTTCTATGTGCTTAAGGATTTATGTAATGATAGATTAAGTAATTATAGATCAATAGGGAAAACAATTCTAAATTGAGAAGATTACGTGAAGCAATGATAGATTACGTAATTATAGCTTCCTTGTAAGAACAGAATAAGATCAACTCTCTATAAAATCATTGCAATTCAAATTTTTCCCACAAGGAAAGCTTGGTAAAAATTGGTCCTAACCTGTTTAAAGACTTGAATCGTGCTAGGAAAAAATTGGGTATCAGGTAAATCCAAAATAAGATTGGGTTAGAACTATTTTTCACTTAACTATGCTAGAGTTGGTCCTTATAAGGATCGGTCCATATACGGTTTTCTGCAAAAGAAGTAGTTTAAAAATGGCTCAAGTTTTTGCCAAACTAAAAACTAGATTCTGGATCATTTTTAGATCTACTAAAACCTAGCTCTTTGAAATTACCCAACCTCATTTAGTATCTGACCCGGCTCTAGCAAATGGTTTGATTTTTCAATCACATACTGACTTTCTTTGCTACTTTTCTTACCGAGAAATTTAAGCAGTCAAGTAACACTAAACCCCAGAAACAGTGCTGATGAGAAGCGAAATCGAAATTAAACAGAGCAATTTGCCATTCCCTAACAAGCATGTTAGGGATTTTTCTTTGATAAGAGGCATATTCATTTCGCAAAATATCACTTAATTCCATAGTGATGAACTAGGGATTTCAGACCTTACCTTATCTCGGCGTCGGCGTCGGCTCGACAGCGGGATTAATGGAGGTCACGGCGTCGGGCGGCAAGGAAGAGGGAGGAATGACGGCGATCAGCGGCGAGGAAGAGGGAGGTAGCACGAATCTTGGATTCGGCCGGCAAGGAAGATCGAGGAATCATGGCGGTGGGAATTTGGGGGGAGAGAGAGCCAGATCGCTGAGAGTGGGGGCGGTGGGAATTTGAGGGAAGAGAGACAGCGGAAGAGGGAGGAATGACGGCGATCAGCGGCGAGGAAGAGGGAGGTAGCACGAATCTTGGATTCGGCCGGCAAGGAAGATCGAGGAATCATGGCGGTGGGAATTTGGGGGGAGAGAGAGCCAGATCGCTGAGAGTGGGGGCGGTGGGAATTTGAGGGAAGAGAGACAGCGGTATCAGCGGCGGAAGAGGGAGGTAGCACGAATCTTGGATTCGGCCGGCAAGGAAGATCGAGGAATCATGGCGGTGGGAATTTGGGGGGAGAGAGAGCCAGATCGCTGAGAGTGGGGGCGGTGGGAATTTGAGGGAAGAGAGACAGCGG